ACACATTATGGTAGGGAGTAATAAGAGCTATAAAGAAAAATACAATACCATAAGTTATCAAAAGTATGCTGTGCTATCATAAATAAGAGTGGTCAGAAAAGGTCAGGAGGAAGTACCATATAAATTAAATAAATAATTGGAGAAACTTGTCATTTGCAAAGTGAAGAAAGTTGCTTGAGATTGTACCACTAATACATGGTAGAGCAACATGTAAACTTATTACTTCTAAACTGACACCTTTAAAACAACGTTTTAAATATTATTTGTAAGTACTACTAAAGGAAATGTAAAAAGATTATCTATTTTTGTGGAAATCCAAATCAAATCACTGAGATAGAATAAAACTGCTTCAAAAGGGTAAGGAAATGTCTTTAGAAACCATAACATGAAACAGTTAGCTTTAAGGATTACTTTGTATTTCCTTTCAACCTACTTCATCTTTTATATATCTTTATTTATATTTATTTCACTAGTGAGTTAGTTTGTATACTAATACTTAAGTCAACAATTTTAAAATGAGGACTGACACTGAATTTATCTGTTTTCCTTCTGACTTTTTCCAGTCCTATTTCATGAAATGTTGCTATTGCCTGATTTGCTATTGAAATGGGTTTTTAATATTATACAGTGCAGAATGTTAAGCATATTCTATGTGGATCAGAACTATCAACTCTTACAAATAGTTCCCTCCCTTCCTTTCTCCCTTCCTTCCTTCCTTCCTTTTTTCTTTCTTTCCTTCTTTCTTCACAAGCACCAAATCTTCCTATTAGAATCACATTACACTGAGAAACCAGGTGATGTTTCTATTCTGATTTAAAATCTTCCCCCTCCTTTGAATTTAAGGAGTTCAAATAGGAATATACACTTTTAAAAATCTAATAGTGTTTTGTTTTGAGCTATTAAGTGCCTTATATAATTTTGCTTCTTGTTTTTCTTTTCAGACTTGAAGTTTTTTAAAAGCGTTGCAATCTTTTAAAATTTTTGTTTTAAATATTTGCCAACTGCTTGGGTCAGTAAGTTTGGAATAGATTTCCCTTGCTTGTTCTTTTGGCAAAAGCCTGGCATTCTTCCACCTTTCACAGAAAGCAAACTGCCTTTCTTCCTACAGAACAGAGCATGTGGAGGGTGAAAGTATTTTTTCATAAGAAAAGGAGTATTCAAAGCAGTAATTTCCTAAGCTTAATAAAGAGCAGTTGTGGCTGAAAAACTGCAGTGATGTCATATAAGTTTTATCTTGCATAAGCAGCAGAGTGAGAAAATTCCAGAATTAATAAGTCTGTTGGTACAGCTGTGCCCTGAGTTGAAAAGTTCAGGATGTTCTTTTCATACTCACAAGTGGACATTTTGCTCCATATTTGCAAGAATAATTGACTTTACTTTCTAAATGACAAAATATTTGTAAACAGGACTCTTTAGAAAGTATAAAAATTTAAATGAATGCCATAAATGCTCATTTGGACTAAAAATTGTCTGTAGTTGGCTTGATTTTGTAATGACTAGGTAAAATTTATTTTAATTATTTTGTTCTTTCAAATATTGACTTAGGAAATGGAAAGAAGTAACTTTGAGAAATGATTAAAGGAAGTGGAGAAGTGAAAGCCAAAGATGGTCTTTTGATGGAGTATCTAGTTATTAATGCAGCTATGGTTGTTAAATAGAGGACAGTTAGCTAATCATCAGTACTGCCAAGGAGATAAGAGGAAATTGGCTTCAAATAGGAAATGTAGTTTCATGACCCAGAAATCTATTGAGAGTATAATGGAATCAAGCGGGTTTCTTCTGAAGTTTTTCATTTGAAGAAGTGGTTTTTGGTATGCTATTACACAAGATGATTTCTTTCAGTCTATGGTTATTACTGTCACAAATTTCATTCTCTTTCCTTTCCCTTATAGAGGAAAAAAAATAAAGAAGAATGCATAGATCATATGTATGATATGCTGAACAGAAATTAGTAGGTTATATCAGAGTATACTTTATGTTTATCTAATTTCAAAATTAAACAATTGCATGTTGCTTATTTTATTTAGTTCATTTTAAGCCCAATTTGAAAGCTCAGCTTCTTATAATTATTTCACCTAAAGTAAAAATTATTCACTTTAATGCTAATTTGCCCAAAATTAAGACAATGGACATTTTAAATTATTTATCTAAATGTACTAAAATAATTTACCTAAATGTCCTAAAATAGATAAAAATGTAATATATGTCTAAATGTGAAAAAAATGTAATATTTGCTTTAATGTGATAAAATAGTTTAAGTCTAATTTTTTTCTGAAAGAGAAATTGTAACCATGAATTCATAGATTATGTGTTTTAGAGCCAGATGCACAAAATTTTTCCCTTATGAGCATGATTTATTTCAAGTCACATTAGTTCTCAGAGGCTAAATTTTCTCTTGCAAAGTTGCAATGTTAATTTCCTCACAAGATAATTATGAAGTGCCTATGTATATAATCGCTTTCTAAAGCAGTGAGTAGTGCCTGACATTTAGTAGCCTATCAACAAATGTTATTGGCATTCATTTTCTTTTAAAAATATTCCTCCCCACCATATTTCATGTATATGAATGCAGTTGGAAAAAGTATCTTTCTGCTGTCCTAAAAAGTGTCACTTGTCTTCTGACTTTGAAAGTTCTAGCTTTTTTATAGGTCAATGGAAAACTCACTCAGAATTCCTTTCAAATTCTTAATTGTGTAGCAACCAGAATGAAATTTTGGCATCTCTAAAGGTGTCAGCTGAACAAGAATTAAAGGCATTTCCAGGAAAGGAAAAAACAATACTGAATAGAGGGTTACTTCTTCATTTTCTCTCCAGTTTAAAAAAAAAAATCACTTAAGATCCACCTTTTGAAATACTGTTTTATGAAATTCTGTCTTATGATACTGAGAAGTACTATGGCTAACATATTTAATAGTTGGCCCCCTTTCAGTCAGTGGTTGACAGAGTGATATAAATTAACTATTTGGAGATAGTTGCAATAATGCAATAAAATTTCAATTTTATTAAAAATAATGGCTCAATTTATGTTAACAAAGAACTAAGCCATTTCATTAAAATGCATACCTAGGATATGACTAATTATTTGAAGATTAAAATTAGCAAAAATATAGCATGATAAATAGTTTATCACAGATAGTTTATCACATTATTATTATTTTAAAGCAAATACCAAAACAGACATAAAATTAAGAAATACAAAAAAATAAAATATCAATATTTTAAATGATTTAAATTCTCTGCAATTGCAATGTGTTAGTCAGATTTCTATTACTATGCCAAAATATCCAAGACAATGAACTTGAAAGTAGGAAAGATTTGTTTTAGCTCACAGTTTCAGAAATTTCAGTCCATGTTTGCTTGGCCCCATTGCTTTGGGTCTGTGGTAGGGAGAATAGCATGGTAGGGAGCACATGGTAGAGTAAAACTGAGGCTCACTGTGAGGGCAAGGAATCAAAGAAAGAGAGAAGGAAGGGCTGATGTCCCACCATCCCCTTTGAAGTCCTGCACCTAGGGACTTCCCTCACTTTCAAGAGGCCGTAGCTCCTAAATACTTTGTTATCTCCCATAGTGCCACCACAGACTGCCAATCAACTCTGTAGCACATGGCCTCTGAGGTGCCATTGCTGATCCAGGCCAAAAGAGATAGAACATATACTTATAGTCCTTTGCCTATTTTCTAGCGGGAGAATTCTTTGTAACAATTTTTTAAAATTCTCTAAATAAAAGCTTAGAGGATGATTAATACAACCACCAATTCCTGCATTTACATGCACAGTTCATTTGTACATATGTATATTAATACTTTGGCTTGGCATTTCTATTACTATTTTCTCTACATCTTTCTGTCTCCTAAACTTAATCTGTTTTATGGATGGTATGCTACTTGTTTTCTATCAGCACCTATCACTGAACTCTTAAATAAAAAGTGGAGGAATTGATACCGGCAATATACAATTTCCATATTATATGCTTCCGCAATCATGTTTTAGGATGTCTATAATTTTATATTAATTTTATATTTTATATTATGAGTCTTTTATACCAACATATTTATACCACATATCCAGATATCTTGTGGTAGATATATGCTGCATCATTTTCAGGTCCTTTTGTGCTTTCCATACTTCTTTTTTGCTTGTATTTTATAGCATATAACTTCCTAGTGATTGAGAATTTCAATAGAATTTAAATATTTAGCAATGAAATATTCAACAAATTCAAATTTAACATTCTCTCTTCCTTTCTCATATAGACATATATTTACTATATATATATATATATATA